AAGAAAATAGTTTCTACTGTGGGATATACTTCACCCTTCCAGATATGGGGAGCAACGAAATGAAGTGGCGCTCAGGCAAATACATTTACTTCCCCGCCCACAATCATGGTATATTCGTGTTTTTGAATGGGATATACAAAATTTTGTGGAATGTGTGCATGTCAGTCTAAAAAAGTGAAAATGTTCTCCATCAGTGTAATGTAAGAATTGGGTATGTCGGGTAGCATGCCGCTCGCTGTTTTGCATGTAGTCATTTGTGGGTCCCATTCAGCGAAATATGTTCTATGTGAAAAAATCTGTCGTCGCTGATGCATCTGAAGAAGTTGTTTCCCTTCTTCAGGCGATTTATCCGCCTACGGTTACGCCACTGGACGTGTATCGACGCCATCGGTGTCGGCCCCATATGCAGCGCAACTAGCTCCCATTTACCAAAGCACTCCTACAAATGGTTAGGAGTTTTGTTGGATGGAGTGCTCAGAATGGAAATTTCGTTCTCGGAGTGAAGAGATGAAATTTAGGTGTTCAAGTTGTTGCCGCCAAAGCTGCGTCACCCGTTGGTACCGCGTTGTCCACGGCTGGCCCAGGATTCACGGCACAACTTGCTGGAGCTACGGCAGCCACCGGAATTGATCCTTATCAACAAGCTATGCAGCAATACACGCGTGAGTGATTTGTGTTTTTGTTGTATTTTTGTTTTTTCTATTTTTTCTTGGCTGTTGGACCTTTCGGCACACGCCGTATTGTTCGCTGGATTCCTTGATCCACTTTGCTATTGGTCGAATCAGTGACCTGACCAATAGCGAAGTGGACCAAGTGGATCAGGTGGGCGCCCATTTCGCTATTGGTCAGTTCACTAATCTAGCCAACAGCGAAGTGGATCAAGTGGATTAAGTATAGCGTGTGCCTTCCCTTTTCGCTTTTTTTCTGATATAATTTTCTTTGTAGTGAATGCTCTGGCAAATCAGATTAACCAAAGTGCGCAGGTTTCTGTTCCTGCTGCCGGTAATGGAGATGTGAAAGGTCCTGAAGGATCCAACCTTTTCATCTATCATTTGCCTCAGGTAAGTATATCAGCTTACCGTCGAGTCACTTGTAATTCAATATGTGTATTGCACACTATGCGCGCAATTTGACGACTTTTAATATTAGAAACTGCTAACTTGCAGTGACTTTTCCTTTTTTCCTTGTCTCCTTTGTTTTGATTAGATATGTATTATCTGTTAGTACACATTTTTACAGTTTGTTATGCCATAAAACACTAGTAGGGGTGTCATCGACTGCTACGCATAGTGTGCAATACACATATCAAGTTTCAGATGACTTGCCATATTTAGAATGTCCTAAAATCTCATTCGCATATAATGCTGTTTCAGGACTTTGGAGATTCCGACCTACAAACTACCTTTTCACCTTTTGGAACAGTATTATCTGCCAAAGTGTTCATAGACAAAG